CTCCGCACACACGTCCCCCTTGGGCCTGCAGCATTTGAATGACTGAATGAAACTTGATCTCTGCCTAAATTTTGCAACAACTTACAAAGTAAATAAACATCTTAAAGCGCTCCCTTCTCCTCCAAACTTCCCCCCCCTTTCTCTCCCCCCTCACCCCATTTATTTATTTCAGGGACCAAACGTGGCTCTTTGGTTTGTTTGTTGGCAGGGACCCTGATCGAAAGAATCGAGGCCTTTCTGACCGGGCAGCCAGCTGAAGGAGAAGGAGAAAAAGAAAAAAAAAGCTGAGACGTTCGAGGCAGGGAGCGGGGGACGGAGCCGGTCCCCGGGCGAGCGGGGCTTTGTGCGGGGCCCGCCGGGGCTCAGGCAGGAGCCGGGCAGTGTGCGCCGGGGGAGCAGGGGGGATCGGCTTTGCTTTTCTCCTTACCCCCCCATCCCCTTTTTGTCCTCTGTCTGTGCCACCTCGAACCTCCGCGCGGTTTGTTGATGTTGTTCCTGAACGTGCCGCCTCCCCGCAGCGAGCGGTCTCACATCTCGCCTTCACACACATTTGCTTTTGAAAAGCGATCTTCGTGTCCGGCACTTGGTTGTCTCCCTTTCATGTCCAGCTCCTACAAAAGGGGCTACAAGACTCGACATGGGAGAAAAGAGGAGGCCAATGAATCTATTTTCCAGATTGCCAAGCACATGGTTGGAAATTGAAGGGGCTTTTGTAGCATTTCCCCTTCCTCCCTCCCTCCCTCCCCTCTCCTTTTCTTTTGCTTGTGTGCAAATTGTTCAATTGCTCTGGCAGGGGTGTTCCTGACAAGCTCATTACTAGAAGGTGCCAGACCCCTCCTCTCCCTCTCCCTCGAAGTCTTTGATGAAGTTAAAATGCGCTGATAGCTGCTCTCGGGGCTATCTTTGTTCAGCCTCCTTTAATAACCGAGCCTGCTTTGAGGAGAAGGGATCCGAGGGAAGAAAGCTATGTGCAGCGAGGCTGGGTGGTGGTTGTGCGCCTGGAAGAAGGGGTGGTGGTGGTGGTTATTTTAATATAAAGTAGCGATTTTTAATAATTTTTGGCTTGTCTGTTTGCGAAGTGCAGGAAGAAAAGGAGCCAAGGGTGGCAAGAGCGGATAAGAAATAGCAGTCGGTGCCCGTAGGGATGAAGGAGGCGTGTGGCCCCTGCAGTCCCGCTGGTGCAAGGGGTTCTCCAAGTTGGTGGTCTCTGGGGTTTGGAGAGATGGAGGGGGGTCCTCTCTACAGGGAAACGGTGTTTCCCTGGAGAACCCCCCTGCGCCCACACGCTCAGGGGAGGGGGATCTGGGGACTGGGACACCTTTCCCCGGCTCCCTTCATCTCCTTTTGCCTTGCAGAGTCATTGTGGTTTTTTAAGCCGCGGTCGCCGGCCAGGATTGAAGCTGAACTGACTTGGTAGCGGGGGGATTTTCCCCTCTTAATCAGGAGTCGCGGTACCCACTCAGGAAGGGTCGGGCTCGGCTCCCCGGGGCCCGCGGGGGCTGCCAGCGCCGGCGCCGTCGAGGTTTTATTTTGGAGGGAAGATCCCCAAGCGCCTCTAAAATTAGAATTTTCCCCACTTCCTAAATTTCCCTGAAGCACCCCAGACCAGACCCACGCCGCCTACAAGTATCTGCGTCGCTCGGGGAAGCGGCGCGGGGAGGGCGGCGGAGACCCCCCAGGAACTGGCTCTCCCCTGTCCGCCGGAGCGGGGAATGGCGGGGGTCCAGAATGCCCTGGCCGGGCTCGGCTCGGGGGGTTCGGGAGAAGTCTTGCCTCGGCGAGGCAGGACGGATAATGGCCCCTAATTACGGGGCTGGCTGGCTCCGTGGCCCCGATCTTCACGGGACATTATTTTTAAGCGTTCAGCCAGGATCATTTTTCACGCCTCGCTGCCTAAAGGAGGGTTTTATTTATTTATTGGAGGGGAGGCGAGGGGGACACCAGCAATAACCGAGCACTGAAAGGAAAATAATTAGCTGTTGCAGTCGCTGCTTGGGAGTCCCTGGCCAAAAAGGCGACCTGGCACTTCCCTTCCGTCCCGTCTGTAGGAGAATCTCCCGGTTCTCGGGGCTGCTTTCGGTGCCTGGTTTTGTCCGTGCTAAACCCCGGGCAAAGCCCGCCACGAGCCCGATTCCTTTTTGTAGGTTTGGGGTTTTCGCTCTCTCCCTTTCCGCTCGGCGGCTGTTTCCGAGCAGGACCGGGGGGATGCGGATTCCCCTGCCTTGCTTTGGCTTTGGTCACACATCTGTGGAGATGATTTTTTTTTTTTTTAATTTTCTTTAACGTGCCCCCACTCCTCTGTTTTCTATGTGCCAGATGAAGGGGTTGTAACAAAACCGCGATGCTTTCAGCTAGTTACTTCTCGGCGGATTTCCGTGTGTGCGCAGGCCGGGAGAGGCGGAAAACGGGGGATTCTCCTCGGGTTTGTCGGGGCGGGATGAAACGATCCTGCCCCGGAATATCCCCGTCGGGACCACAGCGGGAGGGCTCTGTGTGTGTAATTTCTTTCTCTGCTTTCGCTTAACTAAGCCTGTGTTAAGCGGTGCGGATCCCGAGGAGGGAAGCGAGTGGCTCTTCCCTCGTCGGCTGCGGGTGCGGGACCCCGGCCCGGCCGGCCCCGCTGCACCGCCCGCTCGGCACTCAGCTCCTGCCTCCTCCCCTGGCACCTTCTGCTTTCCATTACTGCCGATTTGGAGAATTAGGAAAGGTCAAGATCTTATTCCTTTCTCCGGTAGTTTTTTTTGTTTTCTCTTTCTACTTTCTCGCCGCCCCGAACAAAAATAATTCAACCTGGATTATAGAAACCACCTTTAGACATCAAGAGCATCTTTTCCAATAGTTCGATCTTTCCTCCGGGACTGCC